GTGTGGGGGGAGGGGGGTACCTGCCACCCTTGACATGAAATGATCCAAAATAACCTGGCAGTTTTAGGGTTGAGTATGCACTCAAGCACTCACGAGTGTGATATCATCGCATCACGGTGTCCTCTCTCGTTAGTGTGTCCTGGTGGCGCCGTGCTTGCATGTGGATCGTGTGCTCACGTACATGTACAGTATGAGATGTTGCACATTATGCCCGTTTGCTCAAGTTTTTAACAGTGCATGAGTGTGGTGCCACAGCAGCAAAGTTATCTCTGGTGTATGGCAAGAGGAAAAACTGCCTTATAAAAAGTAACATGCTGCCAGCTAGGCTTTCCAGGTCTCACGAATACGTAGTTGTTAGCAGAGCAGTGTGCAGACAGAGTTGCGACATGAGGTTGCGTATGATGTAGAGTACGATGCCATTTTGTGTCCAAGCTGACCAAACAACAAACGACCGCCAGAAGATTGATCATTGGGAGCGTAAACTCCTGATGAGGGAACCAAAATGGCTTCTAATTGGAGCTTGTCGCACCCCTGTATGCAAGTGTGGTTGATGGGTACAGTACCTGGAGCACTCCACTGATTTCCAACCAGGAAGTGGCAGGCAGCAGTACAGAGGAACAATATTGGGAAGGGGTGTTTGTCTGACCAGCAAGTGGAAATTATCCCAAGGCATATCCAGTACATTGCAAGTGAAAGTGAATTGTGGTTAGAAATTTTAGTAAAAGAGGTCACTTTCACATTCAAACTCACTTTTCACAATGTGTGAAAAACATTTCTCTCTGGTTTGAAAAGGCATGAATGTTTTCTCACCTGTGGGAAAATCTGCAACCATGATTTCCCACTGTGGGATAAGTTTTTCACGCTCTGTGAAATGAAAGTGAAGTTCAGGGAAGGGAAAAATTGCGAAGAGAATTTCCCATTCCCAGGTTAACTTTCAGTTGCAATGCACTTTACCTTGAGTTGGATTAATCACTGAAAAAAAAAATTGGGTGCATGAAAGCTGTCTTGGAGAAAGTCCTGTGCATTTTTATGTAGCAAAAGCTTCAGCTACTGTTTAGAATCCTTTGGAACCCTGCTCTAAGCACAAGTGCTCGTGAAACATGCTAAAACAAAAATATACAACTTTACATTGATTGCTAATAATAGTAACCCTTTTTTCCTTCCTGCCAAATCCTGATTGGAATCAGTGTGAAAGGCATGTACATGTACATTTACACTCATTCTCCATGAATTTCTGTCTGCTGTTGTTTCACTTTTTGTCTTGTTTTTTTTTCTGTGTAGATGGTTTTTATTTAATGAGCCTGTGGAAATCGAAGGCACATGTACACTGTAAAAACACGTTTTTTGTTTGCAATTCGAAGGATGTACATACATGTACCTGTCAGTGTTCCAAAGTTCAGTTGAGCATTAGTTCACAAAAAAGAAAAAAAGAAAACGAATCCTGTGCAGTCAAGCTTGCTTTTCTGGCCCCTTGTAAGATCGGCACGCTTCTTTTGTTGTTTTTATTTTTTTTTTACTTTATAAGGAATCAAACCCATCATGTTGCACTGCAATTTAGCACAGTGATAGATCGCAACCTGTTCAAGTCAACTACGGGTATGTCCAACGCACTCTACTGTCATCGGTTATCTCTGTTGCTCATATAGGGACCTGTGTCTAGATTTCTGGTCATAGTTGTTCAAGTCAAGGTCTCGGGCCGCAGTTTCTTTCACTGTGGCCATTGAGTTGCTGTCCTTAAGTCTGGTTGCTGGTCTGGGCTGGTCAAGTTTCGCCCTGCACGTTTCCTTGGCCAGTCAGTGTCCAGGAGAAAAATAGCAGAACTGGTAATCCAGAGAAAGCATGAAGGGCTTTAACCAGCCAAAGTGTCATGTGAAGCACATTGCTGTGACCGGTTCCTGGCTGATTTTTTGCTGCTCGGCAAGAACAAGCTACTAGCAAAATTGTCAGGTGGCGCATTTTGCCAATTACTGGCTCCCTGCCGATTTTCATGGAGTGGTGTTTTGGACAAGGTGTCCTCAGGAGGTCAAACTCTTAAACTTTGCTGACTTGCGCCACTCAGCTGGCCCCGTATTCACGGGATTGACCAAAGTTTCCTCTAGGTCATTTTGCCTAGCAGACGATCAAAATCACTCATCCAGTCATGGTTGAACTTCCACCGTAGATGCATTTTCTTAAAACAAAAAGCAAGGGATGAGATCAAGAGTAGAAGCAATCTAAATTTTCATTCAGGTGCGCTCAGAACCAAAAGAAAGAGCTGAAAAAGATAAGATGAAAGTGCTCACCGTCATTTGATCGGAAACGGCAAAACACCCCCGAAAGTTTTTACAAATTGTCGGGTTCAAAATCCTTTGTAATGGTTATTGTCATGGGCATTGATCTGGAGTATTCCATTTCATTCACAGTGCACAGTGTTTTCAGGCACACGTATTATTTAATCCACCCCTCATCCCTTTGTGCCCTGCCCCTGTTGTGTTTCCTCGGCAGAATGGGTCGCTCGTCATTGAGTAAGTTGTGCACGAGCATCCCTTCTGCTTCACCCAGTCCTTTTTCTTTTTCTTTTTTGTGCCAAAGATGTAGATGTAGATCTAGGCCCAAGATGTTACCTTTCCAGGCATCCCAAAAGTAACATCCAAATCTTTCTGTTGCATTTGCACACAGATTATATTTTTGTATGAGTTTAAATTTTTTTATTGTCCTATTTTTAGCAGTATCACAGATGATTTGATCTTTCATTTGGTTACTTTAAGAAAAGTCCACCTCTTCGGGGCTTGACAAGACACATAAATCACGCTTGACATTCGAGTCTACATGCAGTCAACGAAACTGGGGGCCAAGACTCAAGTACGCACGCTATTAAAGACAATTTTGTTTGAGTTCATTTCTGGTGTAACATTTCTGGAATGTTAGTTTTGGGATGATCTGGATAGTTTTGTGCTGTGGTGCTGGGACTTATTTGTCGAGCTGATGAGTTGTAAACAAGAGGCTCTGCGCTTTGGGTCTGGAACCCAGAAGCAAAGCATCCTGCTGCAGACCAATGGCCTGTTGGCAGACCTAGAGTGTGCTGCCTAAACATAGCCACAACCTGTCTGCCATTAATCAGATTTGTCCCCTGTCCAAATTCAACCTTTTAAAGCCGTCATCTGTGGTAGTCTTGTCACAAGTCACTCATAGTGGTTTCTGTTAGCAAAGGAGTGCCTCCTGCCAGCGTTCATACTTTGCAGTCACCCCTGTCATGTAGTTCCCGTTCCCTTTGGGTCAGAGGTTAAAGGTCAGAGGGTCAGATACCTTTGCCGAATTACAATCCTGCCCAGCTAGCTGCAAACCTGATGTAGCTGCAGGTTTCCATGGCGCCAGCCTGTTTATCCTGCCCCTCTCCCCTCCCCCAAGTTTACCAGTTCCATTGTGACAGCCATCTGTGGGGGCCACCCGTCCTTGCCGAGCAGCCGACTGAGGCAGTTTGCTTCCATTTGGTAGCGGCCGATCTCATCCTCAGTCTAGATGTTACAATGCTGTCATGTACATGTACATCCTGCATCCGCTGTGTGGTTTGGCCGCTATTTGACTGCACATTATAGCCAGGAATGCTTAAAGGCCAGTGTTTCCACAAAGTGGCCAGCTGTACACGAAGGCCTATTTACATAGTGCTCACCAGTGTGTACAGGCCAAGTTTAATATTCACAGAGTGGCCAGAAGTGCATAAAGGCCAATGCATGTAGTGGCTAGCAGTGCCGGCACATATCACATAGTGGTCAGCAATGCTTAATGGCCAGTTGAATATTGTGGCCACAAACATGCAAATGGCTGCTTTTCTACAGTAACAAACAGCCATTCCCTACTCTGTCCACTTTCCCATTAGCCTACTGGTCCAAGTATGCCCCTCAAGCTTCTCAAAGCCAACTTGTGGCCACAGTGAAAGCAAGTTTGACTGTGAGGTGCAGTCACTGTCAGTTATGAATTTTGTACTTGTTTTATGTGCAGAGTTGACTTGAAGTGAGCCCAACTGGACAGTATGCACAATTTTGAATGGGTGGAACGTTCCGTTCTGTGCGCTGGATATTTTCATTATGAGAACCTGCTTGTGTCCTGCAGGGATTACAGTATTCCTACCGCAGGGCTGTCTCGGCACAGTCTGCACTCAAATCTCATTGGTCTCACCGACCCGACAAGAACTTCTGAGGTGCTCCCTTACATGAACAAGGAAACTGTCTTAGCTGACTTTTGCTTTGTTCGTCGCGCGCACTTCCTTGTTATTAAAGACAAAGATTGTTTGCATGTTCCCAGAATGCTCTAGATTGACAGATCAAAGTGTGCCGATCGTGGGTATCGGTAATGTCACAAGACGTCTTGCAAAATTGCATGCAAAGTAGAGCAGCCATTGTTCGAGTTACCTTTATCTATACAACAAATTTGTCTCCTTCAAACTAACGCCAGTCTAAGTTTGAGTATGGAGGCAACGTGATTGTAGAGGAGGGAAAGAAATAGTGGACTCTGACGTGACATGGAAATAGACTCAACCACAATTGGGTATATAAGGCAGCAACATGGCGCATGTGGTGTCCAGTTGGCAAATCACTTTATAGACAACTCTGTCACAGCCCCAGTGCATTTTGTTGTCATGTGAATTTGTTACTATACATCATTACCTTCGAAAAGGTGTAGTACATGAACACATAATCTTCATTTGGAAGGACCGTGTATTCAAAGGGAAAATACATTGTATGGCATTTAAAGAATAACCGTGAAAACAACTGAAAACAGTAGTTACGTTGCAGAGTATATATACATGTACCTAGAAGTTGAGTTAGATATTAAATATTTCAAAATATCGTTACTGTTCTGAGCACAAGGCAAAAATTATCCACAAAATGTGATTTGGCTGGAACAAAGTTGAGGTTATTGGTGGAAAAATTTGAAAAGTATTTTTTGTTCACTACATTTATTTCTAAAGTGCACCGTTTGGAGTTCTGAGCATGAGGCAAAAAATATCCATGAAATGTGATTTGGTTAGAACAAAGCGGAAGTTATTGGTGGAAATATTTGAAAGTATTTTTTGTTGATTATTTCGAAAATGCGCAGTTTGGAGTTCTGAGCTTGAGGCAAATCCTATCCATGAAATGTGATTTGGTTAGAACAAGGCTGAAGTTATTTGTGGAAATATTTAAAAGTATTTTTTGTTAACTATTTCTAAAATGCACAGTTTGGAGTTGTGGCGGCACCCTCCAATGGCAAAGTTTTCTTGCAAAACGTTCATTTTATCCATCAGTCATCGTGTGACTTGCTAGCAGCAATTAATGCACTTTATTGTAAAAACATATTCTGTACAGCTCTATAAATCTAATGAGTGTGTGGGATTGGTAAGGAATATGAGCTTCTCTGAGAAATCTAGCGAGGTCAGTCAAAATAATATTGATGCGTTTCAAGAAGCCAAACTGTGAGCCTGCCCCAGTGCAGCAAAAATGTCACGCTCGAAGCTAGCTTGGAGTGTTATTCCCCAAGATGGCTGAGTGTTTTGCTCTCTGAAATGGCCAAGTCTAGAAAGCACCGCCCTCAGAGATGGTGGAGTGCTTCGCTATTGTTCAGACAAGAAAATTTTGTGTGTGCTGCCTGCAAAACATAGTGTGTTGCCCTTTAAAATGGCCGACCACATTGCCATCAAAGATGGCTGACTTTAAGTGCTCTTGATAATATCTGAGCATGTTGCTGATAGTATTGCCCTCCAAGATGGCTGAGTGCTGAAGAACAATAATGATTAAAGCCTTGACTATTTTCACTCAACCACTTCCTGTTTTTGTACACCCCCAGGTGGCAGGGCCTCCCCCTCAGAGGACTACGATATCCCACCACTACGCCCGCACCTATCCATGAACTCACAGGCCCCAGTGACAACTCAACAGCCCAGAATGCCAGGTCAGTAGAGCACACTGATATGTATGTAGATCTCTGGACCGGTCTCAGTATTGAGACTTTGAGGTCGGGAAATTTTACAACTCGGTCTCAGAGTACAGGTAACAGGAACTTGCAGGGGTCCTGACTGTTCAGACCTCACTGTACTGCAGCAAAAAAAAAAAAAGAAAGTCATCAGAGAAAATATGCTGTAAATGTCACGTCGATCAAAGTGTTGAAAGAGAAATTTCAGTAAACAGAACATTGTTAAGGCCTGTAGCTTCAATTTCGGGCAAAGGCTTAATTCTGATTCTTCTGCAAGAAGAGCCAAGCACTCTCACATCACCTGAAACTAGTGATGTGTAACCAGGGGTTTGGCAAGGGGAGGGGGGCACTTACCCCCCGTACCCCTGCCAAAAAAGTGGAAAAAAAAGAAAGGGCAAAATCAAAGGTAGGCATTGTTCACACAAAGACAAATCCTACATGTACATCTCCTTCTGTCTCCTCTGTTTCCAGTTCGAGAAACCCCTGAAGATTACGACATTCCACCCCTCCCACCTATGGGTACCCGGCCACCTCTGCAGGTAAGCAAACCATCTCAAGAGTCAAGACCAAATCGTACATCAGGTGAACGTGACAGGGAAGTAAATAGCTTATGACGTCACAACGTATCTACTGCAAAATTCCCTTTGAGATGAAATGTGTTCAAAATGTACAAATGTAAATGATCTGACAGGTATTAAAAATATTTGATCTGATGTCACAGTTTAATGTTGGTGTGCGCTCTTGGGCCAAGTATGAACCAGCCATTAATGATGGGATTTCAGTTTCTGGAACGCTGTGATTTTTCACATTTGAACTTTTCTTAAACTAAGAACCAGGTTTTCCACACCTTGTGCAGCCTCGCTGAGAATTCTCCCCCCCCCCCCAGTTCAGTCAAGCCAGGGTTTTTAATTCATTGTGCGCAGCGTCAACTGTGTCTACCCTCGCATTTAGTTCATGTCAGTGGACACAATCATAACTTCTGCCAGAGTGATTCATATAACGCCTGTGGTTTTCCCTCCGCCTCATTTATTATACTGCTTGTTTTTCTCTGCGCTTTAGCAATCCAGTCAGCCCCCACCCCTGCCGACCCAACCCCGCCCGATGTCCAGCCCAGCACCCTCCAGCGACCAAGCTCTGCCCCTGGGCCAGCGACAAGTGCCCTCCCCGCCCACCAATGGTGTACTCCAGCCGACCAAGGTTGCCGGCGCCGGTGCGGGCGATCCCACTACAGTGCAAGGGAAGATGGAGACACTGGTCCGGGAGGGGTACCGAATGGACGACATCCGGAAAGCCTTGGACATCTCTCAGAACGACCTCACCATGGCCCGGAAAATCCTCCGGGGGTTCTCCAACCCTGCGACTTCGACATAAGGTCAGCGCAACGACAACTTTACGTGCCCAAGCAGAAACGAGAAGTCAATATGTTATGCAGAACTATTCAAGATACAGTACATGCACACCCGGATGTCTCAGTTGGTAGCGTTGCTGGAGCGGCATTTCTGCTGTCTCGGTTTCTGTCCACCAGTACATCCAGTAATGGAATTCTGTATCCATTCGCTTTGTGCAACACTGGCTGAGGGCGCTATATGCCTGGAAGGTGTTTGCCTACCAGTGAGATCTCATGCATTTCCTTGGTGCCCCGGACACTGATTGGTCCCAGTTAGCATGTTCAGCATGCACTATGGAATGAATTGATTTGTTTTTTTCTTCCCTTCCCGCTCTTCTTTTTAAAATTGTTGCTATGCGGCGAATAGGACGTGTGGTGGGGACGCCATTTTGTTCAGTAGCCACAAGACGTCACCTGTGAGGCTGGCCCTCTGTAGCTACGAGTTTCTTGGTACTTAAGGTCAAAGGTTGTACTGATTTGCATACAATCAGGTGGCTGGTATTAAGGCCGCGACCTCTTATGCTGCGCCGACATGTACATACTTGTGCCAAAAAGAAGAAGAAAAAAAGAACATCACTTATTTTTGTCAACAGAAAGCCAAACGTGGCTCAGACGTAACTTTTCCCAAGCGAGACGGTAACTAGGCATTATATTCTAGAGAGGGAATTAAAGAAAAAATGTAAATAGTTCTTTTGGGGATATACCGAATCACCCAGGCGCTTTAAAATTACTAGGCAACAGCAAAATACTCTTCTAAAAGAAATATCTTTGTAGAATATTTAAAGATTGCAAATGATTTTTGCTGTTTGCAATATGCTGCAGAACATACGCTTGTGGACCCAGTAAACAAGATTTTGGGTATGTGTGGCCTCTGAATCTATGTGATATTTATGTAGATTGTGTAACCAAAAATATGATGCTTTTTTCTATATAGTATATATTGCTGTTTTTCTAAACCGATTATCTGGGTACTATATTGTACGTGTCATGATTGTGCAAGTAGTTATTAGACCAGGTCTTTATGTTTTTGGTCCTTTCTTTGCACGTCCGCAGTGAGCATCTTTGACAAGTTTCCTGTGCTTTTAAAGCTAACTTCCTTATTCCTAGAGCAAAGCGAAGCCGAAATTTCAGACTTGAAATGAAGTTACAGTCAGACGTGGAAGTTGATGACACCGCAAAACTGCATTCTTTGCCTGACCCTGAAAAACACCCTTTGTCCACTTCAAGACAGAAATTTTCTCCCCTCTACGGTAATCATCCAGTCAGTGACCGATGGATAAATTGCCCTCCTTTTTTGTCAAGAAACGCCAGACACAATAAATAATTCACTTTTCCATTGGTCAGATTCCATAATGCATTTTCGGACTGGTTTGAAGACAAGTTGACTGAAAAAAAAGTGTAACATGTTGTTTTATGGGCTTCTGCTTTGATGTTCGGTGCCAACTGTTTTAAATGATATTTTTTGTAAACATCATTTCCACATGACTGGACGATCGCAGCTCACTGTATGATTTCCATTTTCCTGTTTCATTCTTCCTAGTGGCGCAAATTTGTCTCATTTCGGGCAAGGGAACATCTTGGGGGGGAAGCCATTTTCCTTATTTGAGAATCGAGAGAAAGGGGATTTTTTTTCTGGTCAGCTTCATTTCACTTCCTTCCAGAGGCCACGTACAAAGCCTGAAAATGTAGCCTCACGCCCCCTTGCCCTCCCAAAAAGAAATTGTGGTTCTTGTTTTGCCCTTGATGCCTGGCACACGATAGAATACTGGTTGCTCTATAGGTTTTAATTTCATTAAATTTGTCAGCAATGTGTAGAATTCCTGTTAATTGTGAACGTTTATGTCACCAGTTTGACAATCACTTCGGCATGTACTTAAAATCAAAGTTTTTCTTTTTATGTGTGGAATGGATGGTCAAGGCAGTTTGCCAGCGAATGACGAAAACGACACTCTCAGACATCTGAACACTCAAATCCTGTTTTCTCAACAATCCATCCCCCCCGCTACAAATTAGCCCCTCCCCCTGTGTGCCCACTTTCTAGGAATTTGTGTTAAGATTTAAACAAGCCTTCATATTTGGGACATTCTTCCCTAATAATTTAGGAAGTTCATGGATTTTTGGGCAGGGGCTTGCTAGTTTCAGATGTTTACATGACGTCAAATCATTCAAAACCACTGTTCCATCCCAAAGTGTCAGCCTTGTTTATGAAATAATGCTTTCATTTTTATACTGAATGCTTTTACTGTTTGTAAGAAAAAAAAGTGAAACGCCATTTTGTTTCCTTGCTGTCAACATTTCTTAAGGGAAAGCTAAAAACTGAAGTATGGATTGTGTGCATAAGAGATAGTGCTGTTCAAGAGTGCTAACTACGGCTAGGGCGCATTTCGTATAGAAACTTGTTGGTTTCAGCTGTAGCTTGACTCGGTCTCAACCACCGCGCTGAGTTGAGTCCATCGGAAGCCCTTGCTAGTTTATCAACCAACTCTTCAGGTGAACAGCAACAAATAGCATTTCTTTGTAGCTGTTCACTGTTACCAATGATGGGCCTCGTGAGGGGACCGGGGACAGGACTCAACTACATTGACTGACATGGCATCCAATGTGGCTGTAGCCAGAACTTAGCATGTGCCTCCATCAAAGCCAGTGGGCAGAAGCTCTGGCCACTTCCCATAGGCATGTGTGACACTGCTAGCCACGACCACAATGTTTGGATGTGGCTAGTCCACTCTCCAGTGGAGGGATTAGCTGAAACTGGTTCCCTGGGCACTTTCCAATAGAGGGTTCAGTTGAAACTGGTTTACTGGTCACTCTCCAAGAGAGGGATCAGTCATGTCAGTTGAAACTGGTTCCCTGGTCACTCTTCAATAGAGGAATCAGTTAAAACTGGTTCCCTGGTCACTCTTCAATAGAGGAATCAGTTAAAACTGGTTTCCTGAGCACTCTGTAGTGAAGAGATCAGCTGAAACTGTTTCTCTCAGCACTTTCCAATCGACAGATCAGGAAATCAGCACTTACCTTCACTATTTGTGCAGCCCGGCAATATCAGGGCGCTTCTGAAGTTTTTGCCACTGGGGGGCGCAGTTGTGCCCATGCAGTCCCTACTCCAGTGAAGACAGAATAGAAGTTGACAGTATGTTCTCTTGTCGGTAATGTGCATTGTACATAGATTTAAAGAGATTAGGATCTTCTATGAAATACACAGATGGTTTCGCCTTGTGTTTTTGGATGTATTTTTAAATGTTTTTATTTTGCTTACCGTTTGCTTCAATAAAAATGACATGCTCATAAGTACTATCTATTATTTGTAAATAAATATTGTTAGGGCTGGATTGAATTTAGTAAAGACAAGCAATATGACTCGGGAAAAGACTGGAAATGTAAGGCATTGCTAGCTTGTGGTGGGCTGGTTCATTGAGATTTTGTTGCCAAATGTTTCTGAGTGAAGTTCCACATCAATCATGGTTGGATAGATTCAGCTATGATGTCAAAGTTCAATGAAACAGTATTGTTTGAGTCAAGTCCATTACAAGCCATCGAGTTCACAAGCTGTTCAAGTGAACCAGAACAACTTCTTTTGTTCCAGCTCTGTTCATCATCTACTGCGAGGGCTTGTGAAAAATCTTGTGGACGGACTCAAACTTCAACACTGAGAAATTAACCTCTCAGGCACTGTACTAATTTTGGATTGCCATTTGAAATGGGCATTTGTTTGAGTGGGAAAACAGCCACATGGAACAAAAATGAATACATAGTAACCACAGGGAAAATTGTGGTGAAAAAGTCGAGAAGGCTCTTACACGAAATGTTAAATACTGGTCACGGAAGTCACAATGGAAATTTTCCATGGGCTTTCCTGGAAGTAATGGAAGTTTATCGGGAAGAGCAGTGGCAGCCTAGACAGTTTCTTTTGTGCATTGTTTGGAGTAAAAGGAATGTGACAGGGACAGTCATGTTTGTCCACACTTTACTGGTTGAAGAAATCAAACTTACAAAGCCTTTTTTCTCATATATTTGTGTATATTGTGTCTTATTAAAGCAATGCCTGTTATGTGAAAAATGATGACGAACTTGTGTCAAATTTACATTGCTACTCTGTTGAGTGTATTGTAATTGTTCCATAATTATTACATTTATTCTATCCAAAACAAAGTGCTTACTTACGATTTAGAGAAATAAAGATGACGAACAAATGCCTCAAACCTGGTGTTAACTGTTTGGTGTAAAATTGATTGAGAGTATTATTGTTTACCCTTTAGAATTACATGTAAAGCCCAACAATTCAAAAGTCAATATCACAAATATCTTTGGAAGTTTTTGTACATGTACATCAGTCTGGAGTATTGCCGCTTATGGGCACGGGGGCCATTCCCTGTGCCCCTAGGGACAGCAATTTTTGTCCAAACTTGAACACTAAATACATGTATATCTCAAGTTAGCAACAATGAATGTGAAATCGCATTGGTACAGACATGTTTTAGAACGTGTAGATGATGTGGTTAATGTCCCCTTTTTTTGCACAGCCAATCAAAATCTTGCTAACGGAGCATTTTGTTGGTGTTTTTGTTGTATACATGTATGCTCCAATCTTTAAGAAAACCAACCCCGTAAACATGGGAATACCCATACACTGCATTGCCAGCTGCTAGAACAAGCCTTGTGATGGGTCAGATTGCACAAGATTGGTAGAGTACATGTACTGTAATGGCCTGTCCAAATAGGGTGATACTCCACACGGTACAGGTAAGCCTTTCCTGAATGAGAAGCATGTTCTTGGTACTTATTCCTTTATCGAGGGCTGAAATAGAACCAATTTTGGTGGAGGGGGGAGGAGCAAAGTTAGAAATTGTGTATGTGCTTTAATTTTGGATGGCCTACATGAATCTAGGGGTTGAGGTTACACTTTGGGTAATTGTTACTTAATTTCTTAAAAGAAGGGAAAAGGCATCGATAAAAAACCACAACTTTTAGCTTGGGGGGTGGGGAGATCCCCTGCTTGTAGCTGGCCCCCTTTGGATCTGCCCTCCACTCAAAAAAAAAAAAGTTCTACAATCAACTCCGCCCTTGTAGCCAAATTTAATGCAAAGTAACCTGAAATTTCCTATCCAATCCTTGTGGGTTCATACATGTACATGTTGCTTACAATGCAATGTTTTGAATAACAACTGTAATCCTGAAGTGATGGGGTGTCCAACTAAAATAGACAATGTAGAATGTAAAATTAGACATACGTTTTAGTTTCTTTAAAAAGGGGCAGTGTGACAAATGTGAATTTGCAGTTTTATATTAATTTTTCCAGACTTAAAAAGAGGATGGGTTCTGATACCGGAAGTTGATACATGAAACCAACTCCACACAAACTTACAGTACATGTACTCGTACATTGTACGGATATACATGTACAGTGTACATGTACGTAATTGGAAGTAACCCGTCATCTGGTTATAGTCAATTCTTTCCACACTTATTCTCTCCCCAGTGTGTTCCTTTTCAATTCAGTGGAAGACCATTATTAAGGCATTTTCACTCGAGTAGAAAAATACTTTTAACGCCTTTTAACAAAAGTGGCAAAGACTGAAATTTTCAAGCATTTTCAGACACGTGCATCAAATGTGTTTGCACTGTTTCCAAGTTTGGGAAAATTGTTTTCACACCTTTTTGAACCAACAGGAGATGGTTTTTGCATGCTTTCACACAAGTGGCAAAACATTTCAATTTCTTTTGCACAACGGGAAATGTTTTCACATGCTGACCAAAGAGCTTTTCTAAAAACAGACAGAATACTTGCTCAGCAATATCCGGTTACCAGCCAAAAACAATGAACATTCAATGTCTCCTGTGACTGGTTCTCCTCAAACATGTATTTGCTATGAAATGCTTTCAGCACTAAGCAACTCTAAGACACTGTCTAGGGCACTAAAGATTTTAGGATTGAAAAATTACGCTTGATCATTCTGTGCACGGCAGTTTAAAGTTGTCAGTGAGCATGTACAGTGTACAAAGGCTTCAGTGTCTGCTGACCAACAGTATCTACCATTCACCATCACATGACCAACTTTGAGTAGGTCTTCAGAAGCTGTGTTCGACGTGGAAGCTCTACAGTACATCACGATATGCTGGAAATATTTACAACGCAAGATGGCAAAATCAAGTGGGTTTGATTTTAGAGTTGGACGACAACAGGGGCATCTTCGTCCGGCAAGGCGTCAAAGTCCCACCTGAATCGCTTGGTCAGGCTCTCCTTGAAGCGTCGACCTTTGACCTTCAACGGCTGGCCCACCTCTGCCCCTTGCAAGTTGGTGAAAAATTCCCGCAGGGTGGTGGTCAGAAAATTGTCCGTGGAGACAATGTCAATGAAGAAATCGGCGGGGACTTCTTTGAGCTGGAAGTGGAGGGCGGTGATGAAGCTGGCATAGAGGTCCTGGTGAGCCACCAGGGATTCCTCGGAGGCACAGAGGATGTGGACGAGTCGTTTCCACTGCTCAAAGCCGTCATAGACCTGGCCAACCAGGAAGCAGATGAAGGCAAACTGGATCTCCCCAAGGATAGCAGTGGGACGGTCTGGGTAACGAGTCCGCAACATGTTCTCCAAGGTGTAGCTTAGGTCCATGGAGTACTTGGTGATCTCAGCAGGGGATGCTCCCACCGGGTAGTTCTTGTCCGGGATGGGGCTGAAGCGTATCTCCGTCCCCGGCTTGCTGTGCATCCTGGGTAGCAGGTCCTCAGCACTGACGCCGCTGCCCTCTGGATGTTCCAAACGTTGATTTTCGGCCAGCTTGGCTCTCTCCGCTGTTGTCCTGGTTTCGTCATCGGCGATCAGCTGCGGGGCAGAGTAGATCCTCTGACATGATGGCATCAAGTCCTTCACTGAGTTTTCTGTGATGTGGCTGGTCAGTGACACCCATTTCTTCAGGCTCTCGTATGGGTACGACCCCAGACAGGGGTCAAACTCCCTCAACCGTCCCCGGTACTCGGCCTCTTCCCCATCTTCCAAGAAGTGCTCCACTGCGTCCTCGTCGCGTTTGCTCCAGCTGAGCACCATCACCTCCCGCCGCCGGAAGCAGTGAAAGAACCCCATGCGGGGTGCAGTGCAGCGGTCACGCACGTTCACCGCACTGTAGTACACAAAGTGCACACCAGGCGGGATCATCTTGACGCCCTTGAAGTGCTCGGCCGTGTTCCATGTGTTGTAGTCGATTCCGAATTCAGTGCCGAGAGGAACATTGAGAAAGAGTAGCGTAGCACCTTCTTCAAAAAGCTGCCTGGCAGTGTCTTGATCCATTGAGGCAGCATTTGAAGACTCTGCCATGTTGCGTTAATTATTTTTTTCTGCCAAAGCCAAAACAAAGGAAACAATTTTAATTAATAGGAAGTACACTGTACTTCTCATTTTTATCCAAGCTTATACATAAACTCAGACCTTTGGAATTATTAACCTTTAATTTCCAAATTCATGTTTGGAATTCGATTATAAATGTTTTTAAGCTCAACTGTGGAATACCCCGCACCCCACATGAGCAACCTCATTGCCAGATGCAGGTCAAAGTGTCACACTCTTCTGAAGGGATTTTCACCTTGTACCCATTTGTTACCAGTCATTCCAGGTGTCACTGTTTAGAGTGGCAGGGTATTCTGCAATTACCCCTATAGCTATAAACCGCTGTACTTCAGTCTTGGATTTTCTCAGCTGAAAAGTCTGACAGAGCTTCTGTCATGACTGTAGTGTAACCATGGTAACACAAAGTTGGAAACATAATATGTGGCTCAATTTTCTACTGGGTACATGTAAATGTACCATCAGCCACTTGCATCCATACCTACATACCCTGGCCTGGCCTCTGGGCCCTAGGGTCATTTTCTCAAGTGCGGTAAACATGGTACATGTAAACATGCTTAGTGCAAAATGGTACCGAGGCCCGAGGGCTCAGTAGCAATATATTATTATATATATAGTACTACTACTACTAGGCTAGTCTAAAAAGTGGGCAGACGTTCATCAAATTTATTTTTGAGATCTTTTTATTTTTTGTCCAATTTGAAAACACCATTACGTTCTTAACACCAAGGGAAGCATTTGCTGCTGGCTGACACGTCCTCGTTGCCCCTCATTACCGAGATATTTGGAGGATAATTTCACTGCTCTTCACGCGTATTCACTCCGAGTAGACGAAAGGCCGGACAGAACTAAAATATGGATAAGGTCGTGTTCCTAGTGTACTAGCGTGCATCGGTACGTTAACTCATGGCGCAGTCTTCGGGGCCATACGCTTGTAATAAGCCACAACCGAATTTACTTGACTGCGGCTGAAGCCTTGTCCAAAACTGCTTTCCAGAGCTACGGCCAGGTCCATTGTCTGTGCGTCTCCTATACGGAGTGAAGACCTTGACCTAGCCGACTCCTGATGTTACCTTCGGAAGCCGTATGCCAGGCTTACCAGTCCCGGCGGCAATTTTCAATTACGTGGTAAGTACAGTGTACACGTCACTTAAAAATCCAGACGCTGGCCTACGGCACGTGCTCATTAACCGTGGTTTTTGTCCTCCACTTACAGGTCAGATTGAGTGCTTTTAGCCGGAAGATTTGGTCGCTGTTACTGCTGAAATGATGACTACAGGCCTTACAATGGAGAAACTTGATGAAATTCAATGATTTGCCCATGGAGGAAGGTTCATGTCCGTCCTCCAGGCCGGGCTCAGAATCAGGCATAGGGCCCGGCTAGGCCTAGTCATGATACTTGATAGTGGCACGCCCTTTCCCCATTATGCCCATGCATGGAGGAAGGAAAACAGGCCCATGCAACACTTAGACTAAAATTGTTAGTAAAAGTAAAAGTGAAGGCTGTGAGGCTTTCTCCTCTTCTTCACTTCACTTTATTTTCCATGTAATATAAAAAAAGATACATGTAGCAATAGTACGTATTTAGTTGATGGACGGAGACCCCCAAGAAGCCATGGAGGTAGAACATGAAGCATTGCTTGTCGAATCATGGAGGAATGTGTTCCTTCCTCCATGGTCGAATGGAGGATCCATAGACGCTTATGATATGACAACACTACGGTACAAGAACTAGGCCCTGCAGTAAGTAGTACATTAGAACTAGGCCTACATGTACATGTACGTTACTAAACTGACTAACGTAAAACTAGGAGTAGGATTTCATTTTTAGGCCCTCCAGTCATACATGTACGTTAGGCCTAGTAAGGATGAGGCTAATAATTTTTTCTAATTAATTTCGTTTTAATTTTGAAGTGGTCTTGGAGAGAATGTTATTTAAAATACATGTATTTTTATATAGGCCAACCAGTAAGCGGTAAGCGTGGATTTCCTCAGATTGGGGGGTGTTGGTGTTACATGTAGCTGCAAAGCAAAGAAAAATGTCTTTAAAGAGGGGATGTTTTGACTGCTTTTTTGTTCACGTCTAATGCAAAGTAAACTGTGATCATTTTGTTCACAAAAATGACAAAAGTGTGGATTTCAACTGAAAAGCTCCATATTCATGTTTCTGTAAAATCTTTGTTCGTATTTGTGCCTTATTTCAATGAAATGCTGGCTCAACTTACTTGAAATTTCAAAAATTTTCAAACTGCAAATCAAATACCGGCAGAGTCCTGAGCTACAAGTTGAAGTGCAACATGCAAAAAAAGAAATGCAAATTTTAATCACAAGTTAGAAAATGGGTTTCCAAACAAACAGCGCGCCCACTCTTTTACATGTATGTATGTCCCTTGCATTTGTAAGGAGACCAACATGTACATGTAGGTACACGAGCCTGGGGTCAGGCTTTCTGACTTTTGACAGTCACTTTTACATGTCTTACATGTATTCACAAATTCGTGATATATAGCCAAGATATTTCATTCTTTTTAACTTCTGTGTACATGTGCACGTTCTGAGGTTATTGGTGCGATGCAACGCATGTCCACGTCAAGAGTTAAAGACCTAGAGACTCCCACATTCTCATAATTTTAAACATTTAGCCAGAAGACGTACATGTAAATATCATCACGTCTTCAAAATAATCAGTGTGACACTGAAAAAGGCCTACAGGTTTTGAAAAGTTACACCAAATGGCAACTCACTTGTAGCGTTAATAGGGAAATCTGCTTTTGGCTCAATGGGCAAGCACGCTTAATCTTCAGGTTACTTAACTGGCAAAAACCAACATGTTTGAGCAATATTTTATCTACAGCTCATTATCATGAAACTGAATTCTTGCTTGGTGCAATTCTAGCCAGCTTTATAAATTTGAATATTAGATTTTTTTTATTATGATTGAATCCATAGACCAAGGTCCATTTGTCTCCTCTTTGAGTATTGGTGAAGATTGTGGAATGAAGAATGTGTGCATTTCACAGCATCCAAACTGGGAAGAAACGGAGGACAGAGAGGTAAATACAACACCTTGAAAATTACGCTGAACCCTGCCAGACCAGCACGGGCCTGTAGCTCTAGACAGCAACAGGGCCCAGTGTCTACATGTACATGTATGAGCTGCCCTTAAACAGGCTAAGCACACAGTTTTATGCAAATACAGGCTCCGTGTAATTCATGGAGACCATGAGCAGTGAGGACGTGTAGTAGAGATGAATTTAATCTTTCAGTTTATTAAGTCCACGTACTGTAGCTACATGTAGATAGGAGTGGTACCCCAGTTTACTGTACATGTACAGTACAGTACCGGTACCTGGCAAAAACTTGGATTGTGTGTACCCCTGTATGAAGTGTTTAAGGATGTTACGCCCCAACTATACATGTAGCATCAGTCCCAACTATACTTGGGCCTGTCCCAACTAGAGTGCTGCAGTTGGGCCGGCCCAACTACAGCAGAGAGGTTCTGTGTGCATGATGTGCCCAGCATGTGCCAAAGTCATATTGTTTACAAATGTCATGTCATTGGTCATAGGGCTAGATGAACAGATGAAGTGCCACATTTTAGACGAATTGTGTCAAGTGTGAGACACATTGACTTGGATAATGTTGAGACATTTCCCACAGACATTGGTCAACAAAAGTTGGGCCAGCCCAACTGCAGCACTACAATTAGGACTGTCCCAACTATAGTTGGGACTTACGCTATAGTTGGGGTGTAACAAGGAGAATGCAGCTCCATGACCAGGCATGCTTAGGGTCTTTGTTCAGTGAGCAGGTCAGCAGCCAAAGAGTGCACATGTACATGTACCTAAAGTTTGCTCTGAAGATGTGTCAGACCTGCAGTGGACTTAGTTGTTGAAGTTGATTGTAATCAATTTGTGCCTTTTTTGATACTGGATTTGGTTTTGGGTTTTGGTTTGGTTTTTTGTTTTTTTAGTACCTGGTTGTGTTTTTTTTTGTACTACTGATTTCGCTGAAAGGTTATGGCATGTTCTTCATCAAATGGACCAAAATGCAACGCCGGATGTCATTTTTCAAAACTTCTTAAAGAGTGACTTTGATCAAGAAAAATACAAATTAGCACCTTCAGATTTATAAAAATGATTATATGGGAATAATTAGGCATAATATTTATGGTGGACATTTGGTTGGCTACCAGTGCAAATCAAATGGAGTTGAATCATTTAATCCCTTTGCGCTGGGACGCGTTAAGACACGCCGTAAAAATTGAGATCCTCAGCCCGAGGGGTTAAAGTTTCATGTCGAAGTGTTTACACCAGAGGACTTGATTTCAAAACTTCTCTCAACAAGGAGAATTCAGTATATTTTTCGACTGATGTATTTTAAAGCACCTAAGAAATAACTTTTAAAAATATAAGCCACAAAAAAAAGAGCACAAAATTGATGAAAAATGATGAGAAAAGTTTGGCTCTTTTCATTCTCTTACCGTTTATCTGTTTATAATCACTCTCGCTATACTGACATATTTGCCAGGTTTTGTATCTTTCGACCACCAAAAATTATCTGTAAGTTTGGCTGCATCAAAAATTTATAATGAGTACAATATGTTCGTTGAGAATGTCATATTTGGTAGAATTTCGATGTCGTTCGGGAATTTTGACAAACTGCATGATGTTCGAGAATGCCGAAAATGCTGTCACATGTAGTGCTTGAAAATTCCATGCACGCTTTTCATTTTGCCTGTTATTTTGGAGATAACTCCGCTGAAAATAAAATTAAAATTAACAACTTTGAGCATTAGATTTCCATCATGGATTGTATTTTATGTCTCAAACGTCATTTCCTTGCGAACATCATTCAGAATGACGGATTTTCTTTTGAGAAAAACTTGTTCTGAAGAGAAAAATCGCGGAGTGTCGCCATTCCATGAGGGGCTCATGAATATCAAATAAAAAAGAGGGAGCACTATCTTGGTTGATGTCAAAGGTCAAACAGGCCACGATGCAGGAAAATGTTTCTCTAACGTCACCGCGAGAGATTGATGGAAGCCGCAAAATCGCCACGATCGGTATTTGGACTGTGGTTTTCAGGAAAATACTTGAAGAAAATGTGATCAGTCCAGTCGTAAAAGGATGATGGTTTGGCGGTGCTTTTTGCACTCTTTTTTAAAGCTTGTGTTGTACATCGATATATTGGTTTTACTCACATTTTTTGCAGTCGATGTTTCTGACACTAATGACAGAATTGAATGACATTCACGACTGCCGACTTAGGGACCCGATTAATTGTGAGAGGTACTTTTTAATTTCATGATTATGGTTTTGATATGTGTAAATATTATGACCTTTCACCACATATAAATCTGTGTAAAATAACCTAGGGGTTTATCACTCCTCAGTCATGTCAGTAAATTCTATTGGCTCGGATTTTAACAGGGAGTTCATGCCCCTCAAAATTGCTAACGTTCGAGACTTTAATTAACTCCAATTAAGTTGAAAGGTTGAATCAATCATCATTGTTCTAGATATCAGCCATGACTTCCCTCATTACATCAAACATTGGAAATTAATTCACTGCTGTTCGCTTCAGGAAAAATGAACCCCCAAAGTTAATAATAAGAATAATAATAATGCACTTACAGTATATTGTGCCCTTTCCACTGAAACTAAGTGAAAGTGTTCAAAAGCGCATTACAAAGATAAAATTGCTCAACTAAAATCAAAGTTAACAATTATTACTGTTCACAATTAGTAAGTGACTAAAACTGACATATACAATTTAAAAAACTACATGTACATGTACACTGTACATGCACATGTATACAGCTAAATATCACCATACACAAAAAGGACCAACTCAAACTCAAATAGACCGTTAATAAACATACCTTTAAAGAAAAGCTTACCTAAACAAATGTGTTTTGAGCTTAGTTTTAAATGACGTCGTACAAATCCGCACCCCTAACATCAGCAGGAAGCATATTGCAGCTGCAGTGCTGCAGCTAGAAATGACCGACTGCCCAAAGTTGCCAAAAGTTTGCCTCTCGGATATCCCAACAACAGTTGATTGGATGATCTTCAATTATACCGAGATTGTGTCCTAAGAATAACGAGATCAGTCAAATAACCTGTGCAAGACAGTAAATGCATTTAAAAACAATCAGTAATATTTTACACTGAATTCGAAATTCAACTGGCAACCAATGTAATTCCTTTAATAAAGGAGTAATGCCACAAAATCTCATGTTATGTGTAACCAATCTGGCTGCAGCATTTTGAATGCATTGAAGCTTGGCAAGTTGTGCTTTAGGTAACCCATAAAACAAACTGTTACAATAATCCAATCAACTGGTAATAAAAGCATGAGTCAAGGTAATAAGAAACTATTGACTCGGATGCTCACCAATCCGCCTCAGATTATGCAAATAATAAAAACCAGTGGAGCATACCTTATTTATCTGTTCATTTATAGTTAATCTGCAATCAAACAAAACCCCTAAATTTTTAACAGATTTCGCAGGTTTAATATTAGACATTCCAACTGAAATATGAGGAATGTGAACTTTTCCAATTGTACTTTGGTCCCTAAAACCAAGAATTCAGTTTTATCAGTATTTAAAATTCAGCCTACTGGTATCATGACATAACCATTCACGGATATCCAATATACAACTTTCTAAAGCAGTGACAGCTGCATCTTAAGTGAATTACCCAGCTTTAAGGATAGGTACAATTGTGTATCATTAGCGTAACAGTGCACATCCGGAAGATGAGGATAAATAACATCAGAAAGTATGGAAACATATAATGTAAATAATAATAACAGTCCTGGACAGGATCCCTGTGGAACCCCACATGTCAAATCAAACCGACCAGAAAGAGTGTTATTAATACAAACATGCTGACTATGGCCTCTCAGATACATGCATGATTTAAACCAATTTAAGGCCACACCAGTGACTCCAAATCTATATTCGAGCCGGTCCGACAAAATATCAAGATTAACCGTGTCGAAAGCAGCACTTAAATCAAGCAACACGACAAAACAACATGTTGACAATTCAACTTCAAAAGAATGTCTTTCTGAATATGCAGCAATGCTGTTTCTGTGCTAAAATGCTTCCGATGTGCCAATTGAAATGGATAATATGAACCATAGGCTGTTAAATGCTCATGAAACTGATTAAAAGCAGCCCTTTCAACCAATTTAGACAAAAACGTCAAATTACTAATCGGACGAGCGTTTTCTGGAATAAAATCAAGATTAACTTTCTTAGGAATAATGCATTCGGCCTTGTATCAATAAAAAACCCAGTTTCTAAAGACTTACATGTATTTACATGTATAATGTCAGTACTAACTGGAAGTAGCACCTCAGCACAGTTAGCTACTACAGTTGCGGGAGCTTGATCATGAAATGAAGTTGTCAATGCAGAGTTTTGAATCATATTTTTCACGTCCAATTCAGTTGAAGGTGAAAACTTACTCAATTGATTAACCGGAACATTCATAATACAGGATGAAAATTGCCGAGTTTTATTTGAAAACTGCTGGTCATTTAAAGTTTTTTGAATATTACTAATTTTCTTCACAAAATATTTTCCCAAATAATAAGTTGAACATTATCTAATGGTCCATATTTTGAGGAACCTGCCTTAAGGTCTACTGTGTTTAAAAGTTTAAAATTTGTATTTCCAGGTCTCAGGTTTACGATCAGAGGTATTTTCACTTGTTTTTCGTTGTTGCTTTTCGTTGATTTTCTATTATTATTTAATTTTTTTTGGTCTCATATTGGTTTCGCTGAATTCTAAAAAGAGTAGTTTTCCCTAAGTTCACAGTTAGCTCAGAAATAACAGATTGTTTTTTGTCCAGATTGGTTCTTGGTTGTTGAATAAAGGATTTTTTTTTTTTTACATTTTTTTTGAGATCAAACAGTTTTCTGTCCTGTCTCATATTTTTTTAGAAAGACTTTGCAATTTGTCCTTACTTGATCCCCAGTCACATGTACTTAGTATTTTGTGCAAGCGATTTCCCCCCAGAGTTGGACGTTTTCATTAGTGTTTCATTTTTCCAGGTTACCCACAGCAGAAGGTATGCAACTGGCCATGTTGAGACAATAAGGAAGGGGCCGCGGTGTGTAGCAAAAAAAGTGCTACACCATAGACTTGTGCACAAACCCAGTGCTACATGGAAAAATGAAACAGGAAGGGGCCAGGGCGTGTAGCAAAAAAGTGCTACACCACTGACTAATGCACAAACCCGATGCTACACAGTGCTACACGTGCGTCAGACAAGTCAGAGGAAGGCGTGCAATAGTGTTTCGCGGGTGCTACACCATTGTTGTTCTGTTCTACGTGTACGTGGATAAGTGATGCTTTCACAGCGTACCTGTGAATTTCTGCTCGTTAATGCACATGCTCAGTTCTGCAGCAGTGTAGCTGTGCTACAAGGAAGACCGTGTGGATTCGGCCGTCTCATTTCTGGCTCCATATGAGATGAGAGATAGTCCCATTGAACAATGCCACTGTTGGATCTTTTGGTGACTGGCAACCACAGATTCCCAGGCTGTTTGGCCTTAGGGAGAGTTGACCTGCTGGATCTTGTTACACTGGGTACCTGGCAAGCTTGCAACTGAACTGTCCAGTTTGACCACAAACCTGTCAGTGCAAGCTGCCAAAATGAAACAGGTGTGCCCTGGATTGTGTAAAGTGGCTTGTCACTACTCCCATGGTGTACAGTGTGTTTGCAACTGTTTACTACATCTAGGAACCATCCTGAATCCTTTGAAATCCTCCAATTTTCAACATGAAAAAAATGGCCATCAGCCCAAATCCTCCAAGATCCTCCGAAATTTCTTGAAAATGTCATTTGGAGGTGTGCCCAACTGCCCAAATCCTTCAAAATCCTCTGGCAATTCCTGTCATTATGTTGAGGCAGTGCGAATGGCACTCTTGAGCTGTGCAATTGATTCAAAAGAAACATCGCGCTGCATTTGTGCTTGACTAAGCACAAACAACATAAGGTCTAATCCACGACCTTCACGTATGGCATCCTTCGAAATCAGCCGTGCACTTTTGCCATACACCCTGAATCCTCCAAATTCTTCCACTTTGCAGAAAAGGATATTGGAGGATTTGGGAGGGTTAGGGTTAATCAGTACTCTATAACAATCACTACTCACACGTAATTCCACAGCTACTAATCGGGCTGGCACAATTAACCCTAACCCTCCTCAATCCTTCAAAATCCTTCGGGCGGTTTTGGAGGATTTTGGAGGATTGAGGGTGAATGGCAAAAGTGCATGGCTGATTGCGAAGGATGCCACGAGTGAAGGTCGTGGATTAGACCTTGTGTTGTTCCTGCTCAGTCATGCAGAGATTCAGCCCGATATTTCTATTGAATTAACTGCACTGCCCAAGAAAGCCATTCACATTGACTCAACATGACAGGCATTGCCAGAGGATTTTGAAGGACTGAGGCAGTAGGCACACTTCCAAGCAACAGTTTCAAGAAATTTTGGAGGATTTCAGAGGTTTGAGGAAGAATCCAATTGTTTTCACCCCAAGTTGGAGGATTCTGGAGGATTGAGGAAGGTTCCTGCAAAAAGGATCTGGGGAGTTGGGGTTAATCGAATAGTTGGAAGTCCATGATTAGTGCAACGAGTAGAAGGGACTAATAACGATTAATCGAGATAATCGCCCAGCGGTAATGCAAACTGATGTGTCTTGCATGGCTTCCAGCGAAAGTACCCTAAATGGTTCGGGTAATGCTTCTTTTCTGAAATAATTGCTCTTCTGTGTACAGTTGGACACATTTAATGGAGAAAATGAGGTCTTTCTACCGGGTATCTCTAAAGTCCAGATTACTTTTTAATTGTTATAATATCCGGCTTTTGTTGGAAAGCAGAAAGAAGCAGAGATGGTAGTGAGAGTAAGAGGAGCAAGTGCTGTCCATCCAGGAGAAGTCTGTCTTCTGTAGTGACTTCCTATTGTCGTTTCAAGTATTTGGAGATGCTGTTGACGCCAGAAATCCTGTCCTTGGGAGCGAATGAAGTTTGTCTTTGCAAATTTGTACTGAAGACTGGCGTGCCACTTTTCCTCGGATCAGCTGATTAAATTTCCTCACTTTCACTTCATATCTGAAAAGCTGAAAGACACTGTACAAATTCTTGTAAAGATTGGAATTTCCTCATTTTTTGTCAACGTCCTAGTTGCATGCCTGTGATGGTGATTTTAATAACATAAATCCTGTCCTCAGGAGCCGATGCGAATTGTCTCTTCATTTTTATTTTTTAAGATATTATTTGGAAGAGATTTACGGCAGTAAGCACTGGTAAGGGGCCGGCAAGTTCAATGCACTGTCACATTGCAGTTCTGTTGCCCTGATGGTTTGACATTTTTGGCATGCCCTTGATGACCACTCAGCAACTTGTTCATGTGTATCAGTACTGGCCCCGAGCTGGACCAAGAGAGGGCGCAATTTTCCCAGCAATAGAGGCTCCTTTGGTGGGAACTGAACTGTGCCGGTTCACGAGTGACTAGGAAGTGCACATGTCACAGTCACGTCGCTACCAACAAAATGAACACTCTTGACCAACGTGGCTCTTTTCGACTCGATGAGGAGGTGCTTAAGAGCAAAGAACTACAGAAGAGCAGAATTGCATGCTCAAGGTGGATGGAGGCTACGTGTATAACTGTCATGCAGATGGAGACCAGAGAGTAATGTTTGTGTTTGCATGAAAGTGTTCTGTTGGCAGTATTTTTAAATTGAAGAAGGGAAACAACCTTGTACCGGTAGGTACATGTACTCTACTGATGTAAACGTCCATACATGTATGTGAAGTGTTCTCATGTTTTGTTTAAACTCAGTACAGGCTGCATGCCTACCAGCTCTGCAAAAAAGGGTGATAAGTCACCCAGTGCCAAAACACGTAATGGCCCGTTCAATTTGGAGAGGGCAAAGTTTCTTCAAAAATGTATGATATTTATATTTTCAGAATTTGTGACAGCAAACATGGAAACTGATTAATAAAGATGAAAAATTGATTACATCTACATAGCATTGTGTTTCTAACATGTCTAAGCGCTGCACTTGATGAGCTTTTTCTAAAAAAATGTCCATATTGAATCTGAAAATGTGGATATAATGTCTATATACACGTATCCGGAATGCAGCACACTGCAGGGGCCATTCATACACGTATACCGGTACCTTATCACATTGTAGCTTTTGATAGAATCCAGCCATATCAAAAACTCATAACCTGAATCTGGCGACTTATTACCCATTTTTCTGGAGCTGGTCACGCGTACTCGTAATGTTGTGGGTGTTCACGAAACACAGAAATTGCAAAAGCTTCTATTGTACATGTAACTGGCTCCCCCAGGCACTTCAGGATACTCCACTAAATTACATTTACCTACATGTCTGTACATGTACATGTATACACGTGTTGATTAACCACAAGGCGAATTATTGTGAGGCATAAATCAAATATTTTAGATGTAGACGCTTTAGCACAGCCATGGGTCATAGGATAGTGCCTGAACCCAGTGACTTTGCACCGAGTGATTTGTGCTCATTAAAGTTGACGCGAACTTCACAATCATTGGCAATGTTGATTGGTTCCCCTCAAAATCCTAGCAGTAACAATTCCCCTTGTGTTTGCTGAACCAGAGACTGAGAAAGAGGAGTGGAACTCAACCCCTTCGGACGATGCAGATGACCTGAGAACAAGGCCATGAAGGAGTTACCACTCTAGGGGTTGGCCGAGGGAATCATGTACTGAAGACTGCATATGATGACTAGCATCTGCAGACACCATGGACACTGGAACAGTGGTAAGCTATTCTCCTTAAGTACATACTTGCAGATTAGCAGAATTGATGATGTAATTTGCTCTTTATTTTAAATAGGGGGCCAAATGTGTGACATGGTGGTCAAAATTTCAAAATTGTCTAAACAAATTCAAACCTTGTTGATATGTAATTGATAATACATACAGTACATGTACATGTACATGCAATACATGTACCGGGTAAATGGAAATGATTTTTGCTTTGAATAACTACTTGAAGTGTACAGACTCAATTTGTGCAGTGGTGCAGGAAATTATTTGACGTGTAACAGAGTAACCAAATATGATGCTTCTATGCATGTCGTTTTTAGTCAATTAGGGATACAAATGTACTCTATAACCTGTCCATATTTCCGATGAATGGGAATCAATGCGAAGCAATTTTGATGTCATAAAGCATTACAATTGTGACAGTTGTCACCAAACATTGCGCATACATGTATTGCTGTGGGTTCAACATTTGTGACTAAAAATCGAAACCTTTTATAATGAAAATGTAGAAAAACTGGGGATTGGGGCATAAAAAAAGAATTCTTGCGTACAATTTAATTTCAAAGTTTAGCTGGCAAAACTGCCCTTCTCAAATAATTGGATCGGGCTCAAGCTTCTTTCATAGAATCTTGTATTTAAAGTGCTGTTATTAACGAGGTTGGTCTGTCAAACTTGTCATGCACCCACTGGCCTACTTGAAAGTTAAAAACATAATTTCTGTCTTTACTGGATAATGAAGAAAATTTCAGAGAATTCAGAGTTGCAGAGATACATGTACTTAGATGTAGATGCCAATTCACATTTTTATTCAAGTGAAATGGGAAGAAAGTTTGATGTCACGAAGCATTTATGCCAAAAATTTCAACAAAATCCCCGCATCCAATTTAGTGATTTGAGCTGTACATGTGTGCTAATGTATGTTGATGACATCACAGCGCGCCAGCCTAGCGGACCATTCACAAAATAGCACCAGCATGCCAAGTCGGCGTTGTACAAGCGCGCTGATGACTGTCTGTGTCATGTGACGATCACTTGACAGTGCATGCAGGCTTGCAATATGATCCCGACACGGGCGAACGTTGGAATTTGCACAAACTTTTTTGTTGACAATGTAACGATTTTGCTAGTAACCAAAATATTTTGTGACGAGAATTGACAGGGATATCTTCAGAAATGTTTGGGATCTCAGACACTAGTTAGTAGGAGGTACGCTATTTTGGGGAGTACTTAAGAGTTGATATTTTAGGTTTTCGAAATGATTTGCAACAGCTTTTTTGTTTGGTTTTAACAGCCAAAAATGATTTTAACTTCATAACAACTGGAGGAACGAAATGTTACGTTGTTATATCAGATTATGACGGCACCTGTATTTCAATTAAAATGAATTTCATTTGGAGATTTATCCGATATCATAATTTACCTCTCTGTTGATAAGTTAGTTAGAAAATAAACGATTTATTTGTTGTGCCAGTGGTATGAAATGTCACATGAAACAGGTCATCATAAATGTCACACTAAATACCGAAAAACAGTGAGAAACAATGAGGATTTTCCCTTGCAATTATCGTGTAAATCAACTTTTTTAATGTAAATGAATTCAATGTAATCAACACATATTCATTGACAAATACATATGAAAATTAAATGGGAAAGTGAAACTGGTCTTGTTTTAAACGGTCATGATAATTGTGATGTCCCTGAAATGCACATTGGCCCCCATATTAAAGTAAAGTCCCAATTGCACATGCTGAGTAGTGTGTGCACTTTCAGCATATGAAGTGTGTAAACCTCTACATGTACATGTAGGTATGGAGTCCAAACTGCATCTAGACTATGTACATGTACATGATGATGGATCACTCTGATTATGTGGGAGAGCTGGCATACATGTATGTGTACATGTGCATAGATCAAATATGTAAAAACGGTGAATTATCTAGTTCTTTCCTCGCTTTCCACCTCTGTGGTCTGGGTTCCATTCCTAGCTTAGCGCAGATGTGGATGGGGTTTTCAGTCCCTACATGTACCTGATTTTGTGGGTTTTACCCAGAATATTCCTCTAGGGTTTTCCTCCCACCTCTAAAACTGTAACTGCTTCTCGTTGTCTCCTCTCTACAGGTGTCTTCAGGCTTGCGAGCTACAGCTCCTAGGATGCTTTTGAGGAATCCTTGGTTATGTCGGTGTCATTTACCAAAAAAGGCAAGGAATACAGTACAGGTCAGACTTTTAGCCGACACGCAAACATGCTTACCGTGACAGTGTGTATCAAAAATGAACCATGCTGACCCTGTATAACAGAGAACGCCGACACTGCAATCCAATCTGCCGAGCATAAACATGCACACGCTACACGCAAACCCCAGAACAGCCAGGCCTTGTTGACCGGAACAGTCATTTTCCTAGTTTCCCATAACAAAAAGGATTCAGTTTGACTGCAGCTCAAGTTATCTTCAAATTCCAGGGAAATGTGGTCAGTAGTTTACCTTGTATGTAGCTGGCATCACAAAATCATTTCTGAAGATGAAGCTTTTTGTTTTGCCGTACAGGATCAATGAAAGTTCCATGCAGGCGAGACTTTTGGTTTTATGTCTAAATGGCTCCAGAAACTTCTGAATCAGGCACAGAAAATATTAGGAGCGTGAAATATATTTTTCAGCCGAGACAACCATAACTAGCAGTTTTATGACAAAGCATTTCCTAAATTAAAGAAAACTAATTTGTAAGAAATCCACAAAACATAAACGGGCTTTGACCCCTGGTCCGCTAGCCAAATTTTAGTCAAGACAGCCCACATGGTGGCGATCCTAGCATACACATAGATAATTGTTGCCGTACTCACCATACTTGAGCTGAGTGTGTTCAAAATTGTGTGAATATAAATTCGATGTGAGGTGGGGATTTTTTCCAATCAGTTTTCGACCTTGGAGATGGAAAATCTACCAAAAAAATCGCTCAGATTGTGACAAAATTATGACCAAACTAGACAACAAAGATCGTACTGATTTAAACAGGAAGTCCGGTCTGCATGTGCATGCACCGGCTGCACACAACAGACAGAGTACATGCAGCACCCATGTGAACTTCATAAATATGCATGTAGTGTGACGTACAAGGGCTGTACATGTGGCTCTGCATTTGTTGGAGCTATATTGAAATGAATATGCCTATACAGTTCTGATTAATGATTGGTGATTGGCATGAAAGCACTGGGGTGGTTGTAGTTTTGCAATTAATTGGTCGCAGCACATTGTCGATTGTACATGGTGTGGGCAGCTGAAAGTCAAGTTAAAATTTACGCAAGTTCAGTTTTTTTTTTTTTTTTAAATTACTGGAATTCTGATGCCCGAACTAAATTTCCCTAAATTAACGTATACTGGTTGTAATGGTTCTGGCTGAGGAATGGATTTTTTTTTTGTGGTTACTTTTTATGTGCAAAGCTGAGATCCAGCTTTAGGAGGAAAAGTGTCTTCACTTAAGTCAATCCTGTGAGTTTAAATTCAAAGCTTACATTTGGAAAAAAAGGCTTGTATTATCCAAACACACACGGTGGATTACTGGCTAGTTTTACGGAAATTTGACATTTTTTCAGATGTAATCCAACTGATACTTTCACAATCCCAAACAAATTACTAGGGTATGACTGAGTGTTAACCCTGCAGCTCCGTCCAAGTCATTTCAAGTCACGGCCCAATCACATTTGTCTTTTATTTCTTTCAGGATCAGTATAGTTCTAAATTATGCAAAAGCTGAGACCTTCCAGAAGTTCCCAACTGGCTGAAAGATTGTACCTAAGAAATGATGACAGGGAGGCAAGGCCAATTTATCATCTCCTGCAGGTACAGTGTACATGAAAGGTGCTTGGTATTGTCAGTGATCAATCTAAACTCTAAACTGCTACATCACAGAATGAACTCATGTTCCACTCTTCTTATGACCTGACCAGTTACGAAAAGAGTAATGAAAGTTTTCATAGTGGATGGTATTTACAGTGCACTATTGCGTGGTATTCATCACCTTTAAGTGCATTTTCGACGTGAACAGTCAACATTTGGTACACTCAAACCTCCTTAAAAAGAGGTTCTTCAGACTTTGCAGATTACCCTGTATAACAGGAACCTTATATTATCAGCAAAGAAAACAATGGAAAAAAACAGTTCCTTGTTACACATAGAATGTTGTATCAACAGCACTCTTATTAACAAGGTTTGACCGTATTCCACCCTCAAAACTGCTTGTTTTAGGTATTTCAAACATTGTACACAGATACCGGTCCTAAACTAATTCTTTCCACCTGTAGTATCCATATGACTTTCAAAAGCCTTGATCTTATTTTCTCTGGTGTTGTCATGACCAATGGATATTTGAAATTTCCGAAGCAGGTGTGTTGGTGTCCAGCAATGACGTCCAAAGGTACTCCACTTTGTAGCCGTCTGAAATTGCTGTACCTGCACATCTGAGTCATTATACTTTATAGCTTGATAACGAGATTCTCTGTCTTGATCATTGAGGATGGTCACGGTGGATGTAGAGGAACTGATTTCTTTGGAGTTGGTCCAGTTCTCTCAGGGGCGAGATATCTCGGCTTTTCTGCTGATTTTAGCTTTTTTTTCCTCTCTGGCTGTGTACAAAAGTATAGGAGATTTTCACAGTTCAGCTTCTTATGCGTTTCTTCAGCTGTTTTTGTCATTGGTCAATCTCATCGTTGTTATTTCCATAATGCCTTGATACAAGCCATGTACTTTCACCAGAATCAGTGCAGTGTTTGATGCTATTACTCAAGTGGGACCAGTAGTGCTGTCAAGCAGCTCGTGCTACAAGACAGTTCCCTTGGCAACCTTGACGATTATGTATTGATCCAAAGCCACATCTGTTTCCGGTCAACCGTTCAGTCTCGAGGGCTGGCAGCAGCTGATCAACGATGTCCTGAAACCCAATAGTTTGCCTTCATGAGCGGCAGCCACATGCAGTCACAGCACTGCGGTAGACCACAGAAGGTAATCAGGAGCATGCATCATCTGGATTGGCAGAAGAACTGAGCTAAAAAAGGAGCTTCAGGAACTTAGTGGCATGACTAGACAGAAAGGATATGGGTGATTCCATGATGGAACTTCTTGAGAAGTATGCAAAGCTTGCAGTGAACAAGGGCACTGGCCGTGTTATAATCAGTAGAATGCAGGTTGCTGCAGTGGATGGTGCTATGTAGCTGTCCTTGCC